ACTTAGCTTTATACCACGTAGTTTTTTTCCCCGCCGATCGGGAACTTTTGCTTTTCCCATCCTAGCGCGCGGCCCGAAGCGGCACGCCCGCTGCCCGCGGCCCGAAGCGGCACGCTAGGTCGGCTTCGCGCTCTGGCGCGCGGCTCGAAACAGCACGCTCGCAGCGTGATCTTTTTTCTCCGGCTGGCCCCACGCCCTCCGCCTACTTGAGCTTACGCCCCTCAGCTTTGTCCCCGCCGGACGGGAGCTTTTGCTGTTCTTATCCTAGCGCGCGGCCCAAGACGGCACGCCGCAATTATATTTTTTGCCCGCACATCGGGAGATTTTGTCTTGCTTATCCTAGCGCGCGGCCCGAAGCGGCACGCCCGCTGCCCGCGGCCCGAAACGGCACGCTGGCTCGGCTTCGCGCTCTGGCGCGCGGCCCGACACGGCACGCTCGCAGCGCGATAGCTTTTCCCCGGCAGGCCCCAGGCGCTCTGCCCACCCGAGTTTATGCCCAGCATTTTTTATCCCAGCCGGACGGGAACTTTTGCTTTGCTTATCCTAGCGCGCGGCCCAAGACGGCACGCCCGCAGCATGATAGTTTTTCTCCGGCCGACCCTACGCACTCTGCCCACTGAACTTTATGCCCCGCAGTCTTTTCCCCGCCGATCGGGAACTTTTTTGTTTGTCTTATCCTACCGCGCGGTCCGAAACGGCACGCCCGCTGCCCGCGGCCCGAAACGGCACGCTCGCAGCGCGGTAGTTTTTCCCCGGCTGGCCCTACGCGCTCCGCCTACTTAAGTGTGTGCCCAGCAATTTTACCCCCGCCGCACGGGAGCTTTTTTTTCTTATCCTCGTGCGCGGCCGGACATGGCGCGCCCTCCTACCGCGCGGCCCGAAACGGCTCGCTAGCTCGGCTCCGCGCTCTCGCGCGCGGCCCGAAACGGCACGCCCGCAGCACGATACTTTTTCTCCGGCAGGCCCCCCCCCCCCCGCCGGACGGGAACTCTTGTGTATCTCATCCTACCGCGCGGCCCGAAATGGCACGCCCGCTGCTCGCGGCCCGACACAGCATGCCCGCTCAGCTTCGCGCTCTTGCGTGCAGCCCGAAACTGCACGCTCGCTGCGCTCTTGCCCGCTGGACTTAATTTATACCCTATATTATCTATAGATCTACTTATCTATCAATCTCTCTATCTACCTCTCTATCTCCTATCTATCTATCTACCTCTCTATTTATTTATCTCTCTATCTCTTTATCTATCTAGCTAGTTATTTGTCTATCTATCTACAAATCTATCTATCTCTGTCTATCTCTGTTTCTCTATCTCTTTCTATCTATTTCTCTAGCTATCTCTATATCTGTTTATTGATCTATCTATCTACCCATCTTTCTCTGCACTTAAAAGTTGCGATGTTCAATCCCCGAAAGTTGACTTCGCGTACTACTTTCGTACTTAAAAGTTGCGATTTTCGAGCCCCAGCTGCGAAACTGGACTTCACGTACTACTTTCGTAGTTAAAAGTTGCGATTTTCGAGCCCCAGCTACGAAAGTGGACTTCGCGTACTACTTTCGTACTAAAAAGTCGCGATTTTCGAGCCCCAGCTGCGAAAGTGGACTTTGCGTACTACTTTCGTACTTAAAAGTTGCGATTTTCAAGCCCCGGCTGCGAAAGTGGACTTTGCGCACTACTTTCGTACTTAAAAGTTGCGATTTTCAAGCCCCAGCTGCGAAAGTTGACTTCGCGTACTACTTTCGTACTTAAAAGTTGCGATTTTCGAGCCCCGGCTGCGAAAGTTGACCTTGCAAAAATGCTGCGCCTGCCACCAAATCTGTGCTTGACCTTGCGAAAGTGCTGCGCCTGCCACAAAATCTGTACTTGACCTTGCGAAAGTGCTGCGCGTGCCACGAATTTTGCACTTGACCTTGCGAAAGTGCTGCACCTGCCACGAATTCTGTACTTGACCTTGCGAAAGTGATGCGCCTGCCACGAATTTTGTACTTGACCTTGCGAAAGTACCCTATATTATCTATAGATCTACCTATCTATCAATCTCTCTATCTACCTCTCTATCTCCTATCTATCTATCTACCTCTCTATTTATTTATCTCTCTATCTCTTTATCTATCTAGCTAGTTATTTGTCTATCTATCTACAAATCTATCTATCTCTGTCTATCTCTGTTTCTCTATCTCTTTCTATCTATTTCTCTAGCTATCTCTATATCTGTTTATTGATCTATCTATCTACCCATCTTTCTCTGCACTTAAAAGTTGCGATGTTCAATCCCCGAAAGTTGACTTCGCGTACTACTTTCGTACTTAAAAGTTGCGATTTTCGAGCCCCAGCTGCGAAACTGGACTTCACGTACTACTTTCGTAGTTAAAAGTTGCGATTTTCGAGCCCCAGCTACGAAAGTGGACTTCGCGTACTACTTTCGTACTAAAAAGTCGCGATTTTCGAGCCCCAGCTGCGAAAGTGGACTTTGCGTACTACTTTCGTACTTAAAAGTTGCGATTTTCAAGCCCCGGCTGCGAAAGTGGACTTTGCGCACTACTTTCGTACTTAAAAGTTGCGATTTTCAAGCCCCAGCTGCGAAAGTTGACTTCGCGTACTACTTTCGTACTTAAAAGTTGCGATTTTCGAGCCCCGGCTGCGAAAGTTGACCTTGCAAAAATGCTGCGCCTGCCACCAAATCTGTGCTTGACCTTGCGAAAGTGCTGCGCCTGCCACAAAATCTGTACTTGACCTTGCGAAAGTGCTGCGCGTGCCACGAATTTTGCACTTGACCTTGCGAAAGTGCTGCACCTGCCACGAATTCTGTACTTGACCTTGCGAAAGTGATGCGCCTGCCACGAATTTTGTACTTGACCTTGCGAAAGTGCTGCGCCTGCCACGAATTTGGCACTTGACCTTGCGAAAGTGCTGCGCCTGCCACGAAATCGATACTTGACCTTGCGAAAGTGCTGCGCCTGCCACGAAATCTATACTTGACCTTGCGAAAGTGCTGCGCCTGCCACGCAATTCAAACCTTGCGAAACCTTCGCGCGGCCGTGCCAATGGGCCCGTCTCCGAACCCGTTCCGAGACCGTTCCGAGACCGTTCCGAGACCGCCGCCGTACAGGCGTCGCAGCCGAGGTGGTTTGCGCATTGTCCGGAAGCCTAATTCACGCACAGCGCCAACGTTTTCTGCATCTTGCCATCCCCCAGCTCGCAGAGAGTGCTTGCGAAAGTGCTGCGCCTGCCACGAAATCGATACTTGACCTTGCGAAAGTGCTGCGCCTGCCACGAAATCTATACTTGACCTTGCGAAAGTGCTGCGCCTGCCACGCAATTCAATCCTTGCGAAACCTTCGCGCGGCCGTGCCAATGGGCCCGTCTCCGAACCCGTTCCGAGACCGTTCCGAGACCGTTCCGAGACCGTTCCGAGACCGCCGCCGTACAGGCGTCGCAGCCGAGGTGGTTTGCGCACAGTCCGGAAGCCCAATTCACGCACAGCGCCAACGTTTTCTGCATCTTGCCATCCCCCAGCTCGCAGAGAGTGCTTGCGAAAGTGCTGCGCCTGCCACGAAATCGATACTTGACCTTGCGAAAGTGCTGCGCCTGCCACGAAATCTATACTTGACCTTGCGAAAGTGCTGCGCCTGCCACGCAATTCAAACCTTGCGAAACCTTCGCGCGGCCGTGCCAATGGGCCCGTCTCCGAACCCGACCGTTCCGAGACCGTTCCGAGACCGTTCCGAGACCGCCTCCGTACAGGCGTCGCAGCCGAGGTGGTTTGCGCACAGTCCGGAAGCCCAATTCACGCACAGCGCCAACGTTTTCTGCATCTTGCCATCCCCCAGCTCGCAGAGAGTGCTTGCGAAAGTGCTGCGCCTGCCACGAAATCTATACTTGAGAAAGCTATCTACGTGTTAAGCTGGCTATATGTCAAAGCTATCTATCTGTCATGCAAGCCTATTGGAAAGCTATCTATCTGTCAAGCTAGCTATATGTCAAAGCTATCTATTTGTCATGCAAGCCTATTGGAAAGGAAAGCTATCTATCTGTCAAGCTAGCTATATGTCAAAGCTATCTATTTGTCATGCTAGCTACCTGTCATAGCTATATGTCAAAGCAGCTAGCTCCTTTAGTTCCAGTACTACAGAAGTTTCTTGTTAAACTTCCTTTGATTATATATATATATATATCAACCAACCAGTATGAATAGGGGGGTGAGGGAAATCCTTCCGAACGGGATGATTCCCCACATTTCACCCAGAAATACTCCCTTTACAGGGGTTGATTCAGAAGGGGTCAACATTACGAGTCACAATCAAAACCTTTGCTTGGTTCTGGGTAGAGCATTGTAATTATGGGTTTTGATTATGGCTCAATTGGCAAACTGCCTGCTCTGATGCTGAGAGAAGCCTTTAGAGCTAAATTGGTAGAACCAATGAATGGATTTGACTTTGAATCTGGCCCATGCCTTTCCCGTGAAATCTCCAAATGTGTGATCCCCCCCAAAAAAGCAAATACGAATGGTGGTTTCCTCGTGGTTTCCCTGAAACTAACCCCCAAAAAAGGTACCCTCAACCAAATCACGCCCATATAAACATTGACACGAAGTTCGTCATACGATCAGGGGCCAGTGTCAGCCTTTAGGATGCGTCCCCGCCGGCATGCTCGCAATGTTGTCCTGGTTGGGGGCGCCTCTTCTGGGTGTGCGCTTGTTTGAGGGTACCCTTTTCAACTTGAGGCTTAAAATGCCAACCCAAAACGGGTAGCCTCAAAACAGGACTTGAACCAAAATCAAAACCCGGGTAGATGAGGGTAAGGGCCAATCCCAGCCAAAAATCGCTGCGGACATCCGCCTTCTAAATTCTTGAAGCATGCTTCTGGGATCACGACCATTTTAGTGCCCAGGTTTTGACCATGACTCACCTATTGATTTCCCGTTTTGGGAAACCATGTTTAGCTATGGCCCCAGGTGATCAGGTCCCTAAAGTCCCTAGCTGGGCAAGTCCCTAACCCGAGGAGTGCCACCTGGACTTGAACATCCTGGCGCGCTTTGCGCGAGTGCGGCTGGTGCATGCCAGTGTAGAGGGCATCGACTTGCAGAAGAAGCGGGTGCCTGGCGATCTCGCGTGGTTTTTAGGCACTCCCTGAGTTCCGTTTCGGACATTCTCCGATTTTTGGGAAGACCATTTTAGTGGTAAACGACACATTTGGTTATTTGTTGGTTGGCCAATCCTCTCAGGAAGTGAGTTTTGGGACTCCCCCAACTGCTTTGTCCCATGTCCAAATCCCAAGTACTGTCCAAAAAGCAGTGGTTGAGTGCTGGCACATACCCCAAACAGACATCCCCCAAACCGAGGTGGTTCTAATCTGCCTGTGTAGGAATCTCAGATTCTCTGTAACTTACCGGGGAGTGGACATGGTTAGAAACGCATGCTTTTCCCATGTGGGAAACAACTTTTCTTCTTTATTTTGTTTCGTGGTTTTCCAACCAATGGTTATCCCATAGTTTTCTGGATCTTTTGATAATCCCCCACATGTGTCAAACGCTGGGTCGGTCACCCAGCCGGACGCTACTTGACAAGCTGAACAGAAAGGCAGGCGTTTGTTTTTATGGTCCGTAGCCATGGGCGGTGGCTGTTGGTTTCCCTTCCTTATCTTTATGAGTATTTCATGGTTGTTGTTGGGAAACATTTGCATTTTTGCTTGTTGTGGTTTAGTGAGAAATCCCCGCTCAACTGCTAAAACTTACATTTTTGCTCCCCTTCCAACGTCAACCAAGATTTGGTAAGGAATTGGACTTTAACTTTCGATTGAAACGGATCGGATTTTCCATTAGACCCACAAAGAGTGACAAACTGTTGAGCGGAGGGGTCAACAGCAACCAAGTCCTTGGGCCTTTTTTCCTTTTTTCTTCGGGGTCAAACAAGACGACTGTCAATTCAGTCTTGGCTCTGCCAAGACTGACACCTCCAAGCAGTTTTATGAATGGAGATGTTCCGCGTCAATTTGTTCCAAAGCAAGAGTTGGCGAGCCACGAAGCCCACTAGAAACCCCGGATTCCGCGGTTTCGACGTGTGAAGTAAGGCCTGATGTGGCGGAATTCTGTGGGTGCCCGGTAACCACATATGTTTTCCGGAGACCAAAACCACTCATATGGAACCCAACAAACCACTATTTGTAGAGGAAGCTCCCTTGGGGGACCCCCTTTGGTTGTTTGCGAAAACTCAGGTGATTTTCTGGAGTAATTAGCCATATATGTTAGTGGAACCGGACTTTTTGGCAAGACCATTTTTGCGGCAAAGAAGTTCCGACTTTTTCCGGCCAAAACACTCAGGAAGTGAGAAAGTAACCGAACCAAGCGTCAATGGGTTTCGGGTTCAGGTGAGTTACAATCAACACCCGGGTAGATGAAGGTTAGTAAGGGACAATCCCAGCCATAATTAGTTGCGGATATCCGCCTTTGTATTTCCTGAAGCATGGTTCTGGGTCAACCATTTTAATACCAGGTTTTGATTGTGACTCAGGTGATTTTGGCCGGCGACCGGCCGCCTCTCTCCTACGACGTGCTGTCCATCAACATCGGGTCTGCTCCCAAGGTCCAAGAGGACGCCGGCGAAGCACTTTGGCTGAAGGGACGACATGGCTGTTGAAATTGTATGGGTCTTGCGTTTTACTTGGCTGCTTGGTTGGTTGCTTGCTTGCTTGCTTGCTTGCTTGCTTGCTTGCTTGCTTGCTTGCTTGCTTGCTTGCTTGGTTGGTTGGTTGGTTGGTTGGTTGGTTATGAGTTAGTTAGTTAATTAGTTAGTTTGGTAGTTAGTCGGTTAGTTAGAGTTACTTAAGGTTAACGTCGGATGAATAAGCCCTCCTCCCGCCCAGAAGGTCAAACCTCAGATTAAACGAGCTCCGGGGGAGAAGGTGGCCTGCGGGCTGACCGTGTCGTGCTTTTCCAGGGTACTCTTGCTTAAGGTGGGTCAAAGGGAAACCAAAAGGAAAGTCACCGCTTTTTGCGTATCCCAATTTTGACATGTTATTTCTGCGTGTATATACATATATATATATACATATATATATATATATATATGGTACCGTTGCTCCCCCCCCCCCCCAATATGGTATGGGTCCCCCTGGCACCTGCGGTCCCACCCCCACCCCGAACTCGCACCCCGACACCCTGGGACCCCCACCCCCGGGACAGGCCAACCCTAAACTAACCCTAAACCAAACCATAAACCAACCCTAAACTAACCCTAAACCAAACCATAAACCAACCCTAAACTAACCCTAAACCAAACCATAAACCAACCCTAAACTAACCCTAAACCAAAAACCATAAACCAACCCTAAATAACTAAACCAACCCTAAACCAACCCTAAATACACCCTAAACCAAACCATAAACCAACCCTAAACTAACCCTAAACCAAACCATAAACCAACCCTAAACTAACCCCAAACCAAACCATAAACCAACCCTAAACTAACCCTAAACC